TTTTTGGCAGTGCTGGAGATGAAGTGCTAGGAAACACTCCACTAGTGACCGGACCCCAAAGGCCTCCTTTTGGGTGTGTTTGCTTGCTTAGTTTGGTTTCCGAGACAGCGTTTCTCTGTAGCCCTGGCTGTCCCAGAACTCACTCTGTAGACCAGGCTGTCCTCAAACTCAGAGATCCTTCTGCCTCTGCCTCCCGAGTGCTGGGATTAAAGGCGTGCGCCACCACCGCCTGGCCCCTTTCCCCTTTATTGATTTTATTATTTTAAAAAACTTTTTGTTTTTATTCATTTATTTGTGTGTGTGTGTGTGTCTGTCTGTCTGTCTGTCTGTCCAGCTGTATACGCATGTGTTCATGCCATGGTATGAGTGTGGAGGTCCAAGGACGATGTGCAGAAGTCAGTCCTCTCCTTCCACGTGTGAGCCCCACTTGATGGTGGCAGCCCCTTTACTTTCTGTCTCAGCCGTCTCCCTCTCCCACTCCTGCTTTAAAAACACACGTATCTATAATTTTATTATTGGGGTGTGTGTGTGTGTGTGTGTGTGTGTGTGCCAAAGTGAACATGGAGGTCAGAGGACAATTTTCACAGCAAATGCTTTTATGCACTGAGCTACCTTGCTGTCCCCTCTTTTAATTAATAAATTGTTTTGTTTTTCAGTTTTGAGACAGCATCTGTGTAGCCCTGGCTAATGTGGAACCTAACCCTGGCTAACTCTGTAAAGCAGGTGGGACTTGGGATGTGTTCATCCTATTTTCCTATCTCTTTTTATACCACATCTCCCATCGCATTGGGCATCTGTATCCTGTTAGGTGGCCGACACTGGGTAAGCAAGCTGGAGCCCCAGACTGTGCACAGAGTCGCTATCTTTGAACTGTGCAGCTCCCAGCCACTCCGCCCCTGCCCAGGTAACTCACTGTGCATCAAGGCTTGGAGCATGTACTGGGGCTTCAGGGTCATGGTGCGCCAGGGCAGGCTGGGGCAGGTGAGCATAAGGCCCGTCATGGTTGGGTCCTGCAGGATTTGGAGCAGGGTTTGTGGGGGACCGGGCTTGCATCTCCAGAAGGGTCCATTCTGGGAAAGGGGCAGATGGAGGATGACCTCCTGGGTCTTTGAGACCTGGACACAGCGTGCATAGCGGGTCCCATGATGCATCTCCACAGCCTCAAGCCTGAGAGGCTGGTCCGCGGGCACCACCCTGGCCTCTGTGACAATTCTTTGAGTTGACTTGAAGTAAATGGGCCGCTGTGTGCCGTTCTGAGGCATGGCAGAGATGAGCTCGTCCAGGGTTCTGTAGCTCTGCAGGCTGGTGAGGGTGCTGAAGAGGCCTGTGGGAGTCAGCAGAGGGAGGGAGGAAGAAGCGGGGAAGGGCAGGCCTTTGCTGGGGCAGGCTCTGCAGACCACCAGCCAGAGTCCCTGCTAGGGCCTGCATCTGGACATCTAGACCAAAGGTCTGTGATGGAGGCTGGGTGACAGTGCGTGAACAGATAGTGAAGGACAGGGACGGTGACGGTGACACAGGGATGTCACCAGACACACACACACACACACACA